CTTTTTTCACGATTTTCCACCAAAACCACCCATTAAATTTCCAAGTCCTCCTGCTGCACCCTGTTGTAATTGTTTCATAATATTTTGTAATCCTGGCATTCCACCTGTGAAAAGAAAAATTTTAATAATGGAATAAAAATATGTAGCGATTTTATATATATTATTATATTAAGAATGTAATAAGAATATATATATATATATAAGCTTTTTTTAATGTTCAAACCCATATATTTATTTTTACTTAGTTTATTCAAATAGTACAAACATAATATGCTATAGCGTAAATACTTGAAGTGTAAAGCTTAGTTACACTTGAATACAGACATACATATAAACACAATACATATGTATATAAACACATAAATTACGAATATGCATATGTTAAAAAGTAATATGAAAATGAACATAAAAATTAAATCAATGAAGTATATATTCCTTTCAAAATTTGCTAACTTTATATCAATTATTAAGCACTGTTTAATAAAAATATTACTTACCCATTTGATGTAGCACTCTGGGATCCATCATTTTTGCCATTTGATGATTTAACTTTGCCATTTGTATCGAATTTACATTTTTGGACATATCTCCTGCTTTAAATAATCCTTTAATGCCGCCCATTTTCTTTACAACAGCAGCGAATTTTGTGTATTGTGTAATTACATCTTTGACTTCTTTTTCAGTCACTCCAGAACCTTGTGCTACTCTTACAATTCTGCCTGGTTGTTTACTGAATAATTTTGCACCATCTCTGTTATCCAATTCTATAAATGTTTGTTTATTTAATATTTTTTTATTTTTTATTTGAATGTTGTACAACTATAAAATATATTTGTGTTAATATACAACCCAGATTCTTTGATGAAACAGTTTCTTTTACTAATTAAAAACAAATAGCTGAATGCAATTTTTTCTACAATGTAAATTCATATGTTAAATAACGTTAAGAGTACATTATGTATAGTAAAATATTACTATTAACTCAATTTATTGTTTGCAGTAAAAATATGCGCTTTTATAATACTAATAATATAGTGTCTCATTTAAAAAAATATAGAAATAATCGAAATATGATCAAAAAATATAAAATATTATATTTTTAAAAAAGTATTATATTTTTAAAAAATATACAGTGAGCCATATAAGAAAATAAGCAATATAAGAGAAAAAAAGGATCCATATAAATTATATGCAACAAACTTATTTGCTGTGACTACTTTAAAAATAATTAAAACTATGGCTACAGAATACATAATATCAGAAAGATCTGAGTTCTATTATTTTCAACATTTTTGACAACTTTTATATTTGTTTATCACAAATAAAATATTCATAGAAATATAACAATGTGCATGAATGTTGAAATCTCACATTTCAATAATATCAACTTATATGGATAATTGAATTTAATTAAAAGAAAATTACCTGAGTCGTTCATACTGTCCATAATAGTCATTATACGTTTTAGTCTTGCCATAGATTCTTGTTCTGTACCTTTTGACATAAAGTCTTGACTGAAACCAGGAATCATCCCCTGTTTAACAAAAAATCCCCTTTATGTTATATAAAAAATATCTAAGTATATATTCTATTAAAAATATATGTGCATAACATATTTTAACTATAAGTAAAAAATATATAAATTACATTCTTTACACTTTACAAATTTGGATGAAATTTTTAAAAAATATTAGAAATTTATAGACAAAAGAAAAAAAGAAGAAACTAAAACTTACCATTAACTGAGAGAATGGTCCCATTTTCATAACATTCTGAAACTGTTCATACATATCCCTCAAAGTGAATTGTCCATGTTTGATTTTCTCTAGTAGTTCTTCATTATCATCGAGATTTAATTCATTCACTTTGTCTATTAGTCCTTCGATATCACCCATACCCAATAATTTACTAATAAAAGGTTTTGTTTTGAATGGTTCTAAATCATCTATATGCTCCCCTGTACCTACAAAGATTACTGGACTTTGTGTTGCAGCGACCCTATAGAAATATGCTTATATAATATCAAAACCTTTAATAATTACAAAGCTAAATTTTCTTCAATCCCCAAATTCAATTATAATATTACATTAAAATTTAAGTTTCATTACATTGAAAAAGGATTTTTAACACTAGTATAAAATAATACAAATATCACTTTTATAACTGACTTTGTTATATTGTGACTTTTATATCACTAACATAATTATTACTTTTTATTAATTATTAATTATTAAGAATTATTACTTATATTACTGATGCTTAATTAAACATTGTTTACCCATAGTATTATTTAAATATAAATATAATTTAAATATTACTTAAAGAAAAGTATATGATATGAATAAGTAAGTATATGAAGGTACTACAAAAGAACTTTTTCAAACATATTTCATAAAAACTTAGAGAAACTATTTACAAATTATGAAAACTTACGCTGAAAGAGCACCTCCACCTTTTGCATGTCCATCAAGTTTTGTAATAATGATAGAACCGACATTAACACGTTCCTTAAAAGCTTTTGCTTGAGCTTCACAAGCCTGACCTATCGTTGCATCCATTACAAAAATTATATTATCTGGTTGCTACAAATAATAACAATTTTTATTTATTGACATAAATATTTCGTAAGTTAGATATTGCTAATTTTTGTTCATTAGAAAATGTTTGCAAGAGATAAGAACTATTAAATTACTTACAATTGCATTTGCAACTTGAAGCATTTCCTCGAACAGAGATTCTTCCTGTTTGTGTCTGCCACTAGTGTCAACAATAATAATTTCATAACCTTCTTTTTTAAACATTTCCACACCATCCTGTGCTATTGTAACTGGATCAACTTCTGTATAACTAAATAATAAATTTGTTTTGTCCTATTACACTAGTATTTATTTTGTAACATTAAAATCTTTGTAGAATTATCCATTACTTGAAGGAATAAGATTAGAAACTATACATAGAAAGTATATATAAAAATAAAAACTGTCATATCTCATAAAACTAATTTATTTACTTGTGTCTTATACTTAATTTGTTGTTGAACAGTAACAAATAATTTTTAAATTATTACCCACCTTCCATAAAATGGAATTCTTGCTTTTGTTGCATTTTGTTTTATTTGATCATATGCGCCAGCGCGGAAAGTATCAGCACAAACTAAACAAGCTTTCCAATTTTTCTTTAAATAATGATAAGCAAGTTTTGTACAAGTAGTTGTTTTTCCTGAACCTTGCAATCCAACAAACATTATTATATTTGGGCGTCCTTTAATAGGCTGATAAGCTTTTACTCTAGGATCAATGAGCTGTAACAAAATTGAATATACTTTCCCTATTTCTTAATTACAACAATAGAGAAGAAAATCATTTTTCAGTGTTTCGAATAATAAATTTTCAAATAATAAATAAATCATTCAACTTACCTTTACAAGTTCTTTAAATACCGCACTCTGTATCATTCTCCTCTTATTAAGGCCACCAGCCATATCATCAAAATCAATTACAAGACGTACATTCTCTCTTAGCTTTTTGACAAGTCTGATATTAACATCTGCTTCAAGTAATGCCGCACATATTTCTTTTAGCATAGAATTCAGGACCTAAAATAATAGTATAAAATGTCGAGGTATTTCTATTGACAGTAATAGTTAATTTAATAATTATTATTTTGACTTTTTAATAAATCGAAAGCTATAAGCTTTCAAGTTTATAAAATTAAGAAATTATTACATTTAGAAAATAATTAGGAAATGTTTATAATGTAACGTTTATTGAATAACATAAATTAACATATGTTACAATTTTAATTAGATGTATAGAAATGAGTCTGAAGGTTATGTTACTGTGGAAATACTTACTTCTTCATTAATAACAGTTGCATTGCTGAGGGATCGAAGCGCAGATGTTATTTTACGACCTAAATCTGCGAGAACCATTTTGCTACGACTATTCAACCTTTACGTAAACAAAAGGAAAAATTATATCACAGACGAGGTACACAACCTCGTTATAGAACAATCGTTATCCAAATTTTGCCAACGCACTATAGTGATACATTCGGGTTTTGATATAAAATTGAACAAAATTTTTATATGTATTTGTTTAAAACCTTAGATTTTTTATTTTTGTATAAGAGGACGCGGTTTTGGAAGATTCTTGACATTAGAATACTTTTTTCTGTTACACTACATAAATCACAAAATGAGGGAGAAAAAGATAGGTTGTGTTATGTTAGGTTTGGTCATTAATGACTAATGTCAAATAGATGAGTAACATCATGTTTCTATAATGTAACTATTTTTAATAGTTTATCTATAATGTAAATATTTTTATAAGTTTTTATGTATACATTCAGAATATAAGCTATAAACCATAAACTAAATTATTGTTAAAATATAAATTAATATTATCAACATTTACATCTTTAAATTGTAAAACTACGAATTATTTTGTTTATAAACTGTATTTTATGAAAAAGTACTTTACAAAAATTAATTTTAGAATGATATACATATTTACAACAGTTAAAACATAATTAATATACAGTATAGGTGAAATCTGATACAATTAACCTTATACTATTGAATTTGTTTTCTTGTGAAGGTAATAAAATTAAAATTTATGTTTTCTAAATACTGGTTTGAGGATTATATTTATTTGTTAATTCATGTGGTCTTATATAAATTTATTATGAATTTTTATTTCCACAAATATCCATTCATATAAATGTTATATGAACACAACAATTACATAGATAGAGTAAAAAACGTTAGGTCTTTACTTTGAAAATGTATTCTGAATTTAATATTATGTCTATTCCGGATTTTATATTATTAATATATATATATATAATTACTAACATATTACATATATATTTATATATTTATATATATATAATTAATAATATAATTAATAATATATGTATATACGTAATTAAAATACAAAAATTATGATATTTCAAATTTCGCGCAATACTGAAATGGTAATCACGTGCTCGATATTTTACTAAAAGGTTATATATTTTGTGGTTCATTGGTGAACACTGAGCAGTTGTATTATGTATTTTTATTCTTGTGGTTAAGTTAAACTACTTGTTTAATACCGACACAATCAAAACATGAGATTATCAGTGAATTTATATTTGGTATCTTTTTAAATTATAAAATATGTGGAATCATATTTTCAACAGAATTTTCAGTGGATAGTAATGTGAAAACATTTAAACAGTGAGTGTTTAGTGTTTAGTTTCAATTGAACGGTGAGATCGCTGTAATAAAGTTTGAGGTTAAATGTTAAACAATGAGTTAAACTAAGTTATCCGTAATTCTTGAAGAGTATTTAAAAAATGTGTAATGAAAATATGTCCTGTGAGTCGTCTAAAGATCGGCAAAAAAACGAAATCGAGGTTCTGAAGGTACGTCATGATATAAATAGATAAAAATTTATTTATTTAATGTTTTATGTTTTACGTATCATAATGGAATATACACATTTATTTCTAGTAAATTAAATTTTATATGACTTGTTATGTAATTTATGAATAGATAAAGATTCAGATTTTCGTATTTTATGCATGTATCTACAAATTGTTCGTATTTTTTTTTAAGTAAAGGATCTATAATAAATATAAATGTATTCCGATGAGTGTAGTGTATGAATATGTTCGAATTTAATATGAATATAAATATAAATAGATTAATATGATATAGCAAATAAAATTACATTATAACAAAATTGGAGAAGGATATATATCTATATTAATATAATTGGTGCTGAATTGTAATTTTATTTACTCTGCTTAAGTTTTGTCTATATATTGTTTATATTATTTATAACATATACATAACTGTGATCATTATATACACACATACACACTGATAGGAAATCATTTGATCTTTACATGAAGTTAAATAATATCATTTATATAAATAATTTTTGATAATTTAATTTTTAAAATGAATAATCAATTGTATTATAGTTTTTTATACTAACGAAAAATATTTTGAAATCAATGCCTTTATTTTTATAGCATATTTTTCAAGAATATCTTTAAAGCTAATAAAGAACATAAATAATGAAGATGAATATAAATCATCTTTATTTATTGGTTTTTATTTAAAATTACTAATTTTGCTTCTAGTTTAAGCATGAAAATTTAGTTTGGATTATTTTGTGGGAATTAGAAGTTGATTTATGTAAAGCCATTAAAATAGTTAGTTAAAAATATAAAAATTCACCAGAATCCATATTTTCTTTTTAAGTGCATTTGATTCTACACTGTAATGTATTTATACATGGATTTGTTTAGATATAAAATTCTATTTTTGTTTAAAGTAACGATTAAAAGTAAAAGCTAATACTCCTATGGTTTGAATATCAGAGTACTGATCAATGTTTTATGTATTTACATCTAATGTTAATATTTGTGGCTTTCACATGTCTCAGAGCACATTATTACATATTTTGGCATACAAAACATATGGTAAAACTAAATGTATTTCATATAGAATGTTTGAAGTTTATATACAGTGTCAAATAGAAGTATTTACACAGTTTCGACCTTTGTATGAAATTCTTTGTAAATCTGTAAAGAATGTGATTCTTTATTTAATATTTTTGTAAAGTATAACTGTCGACTCACTTCAAGTATACCATAAATCATGAATTTTAGAAACAGTTATAATAAAGAAAAAAATAAAATACACATACACGTCCATTTTGACTGAAACAATTTTGAAATTTTCAGTAAAACAAAAATATTGACACACTTTAAAAATTTGTTATAACGTATATTCTACTTAAATATTGACAATGTTAGCACACTTGTTATATCGCGGGAAGTTTTACCATCCAAACTGATCGTCATTTATTAAAGTTAGAATATTTTGTAAAAAGAAGAAAAACTGCTGAAAAAAAGATTGTATTAAATTTATACAAGCAAGGAAAATCTTGTTCAGAAATAGAATATAGAATATAGAAATATAATAAAAAAAAACCTAAAACTACATTCTCGGAAATAGCTGGGATAGTAAAAAACGAATCTAACACGGAAATGCACCTCGTAATAATTCGAAGACCACTCAAAACTATTAGATATGAACTAAGAGTTGCAAGATGAAAGAGTTGCAAAATTAATAAAAAAAAAATTGTTAGAGTTCGCTATTAATTATGTGCACAAAAATACAGCATTCCGACAAAACACAGACTAAAACAAATTTATTATTTTTCAATGTGATGAACGAGTTTTAGTTAGAAAATCGAATACTAGATTAGATGAAAAAAATTGTTCAAACTATCAAACACGGGGATGGCGGAGCACTTATCTGATGTAGGAGAGCTTCTTTTTATTGAAAATACCATGGACAAATATGATTATTTAAATATTTTAAAGTAAAAGTGTAGAAAAATGAAATTTAGGACAAGATTATTATTTTCAACAGGTTGATAATCTCAAACACTATTACATTATATTACGTCTATTTTAAAAATTTATGATTTTTGATATACATAAACTTTAGAGTCGACGGTTATATTTTACACAAAAATTAGATAGGGAATCACATTCTTTACATATTTACAAAGAACTTTATACAAAGATTCGGGTTGTACCAATAATTTGAAGTATCGTATGTAAATTTTCATGAAAATGTATCAGTATTTTACAACAAAAATTAACAATATAATTTTTATTATATTTGACAAACAAATACTCCTTTTAATGTTGTTTATGTAGCTAAATTTCTTGTTTAAAAACGAGCAATGTTTACGTGGGTATAGTTGTCCTAAACCTAATATTTTGCAAGATACCCATGAAGTATATTTCCAATCTCCAACTTTGGAGGCTACTTACATAAATGCTGGCATCTAAAAAACATACGTGTCAAATATTTTTCGAAAAATGTATCATTCTTAAGTTTTATTAAAATCGGCGGTTTATTGTTCTTATAGAGTATTTTTGGAGATGAGCTTCGCGATTTACGTCATGAAAAAAATAGACGGAAATGGCAACCATTAGACATAGTAATTACTTTGATGCCTCAGAAAGGCATGTCAGGTCCAGCTAAAGTGTATGCACAAATTGATCTACATGTAATGTGCAGTGATAAGTATCCTGATGAGTAAGTATAATATTAATTCTATGACATTCCCAAGCTATAAATCTTTTGTTTTACGGACCATTATGATCTAAAACATTGTAAAAAGTGAGTGAAAAAAGCAGCAGGTTTAGGATCTTCCTCATTACACTTGCATTTTCTTTTTTTATGTATAGTTTTATGCTTTATATTTTATTTATATGAAGTAATAGAAAACATTTGTTATTGGTAATAGAGTTCTATAACATATTTTGCAATTTATATATACATACACACGTATAATATGTCGCTTTTTATCGATGTTCAAAATTTCGTTCGACATTCAATTGGAAACCAGATTAACACTTAATATGTTGAAAACCAGATTAACACTTTGACTGCCACGTTGGTCATATATGACTAGTCACAGTTTCTCCTGTGACGCCACGGTCATTGGTGACCGGAGCGCTTGAACTTCTTACAATTGTAAAAACTGAATGAAAATTGACAGTTAGGGCATTTTGAATACAACCGATATAGAGGAGATACTTTGAAATAAAAAGTGCCCCATTGAACAATTAAACATTTTTATTAAAACATCAATAAAAAAAAAAAAATGATAACAAATCTTGCATCTAACGGTACACTGTGTTTGTCCATATCTTGAGGGGTACTGTAGAGGGACCCCGGGTCCAAATCCCGGCGACCGGAGTCCGATTTTTCTTCCACGATACGTAAATGAGAAGAAAAGCAGCCGTACCTCAGCAGCGACATCTACACCAGCAGCAGGACCTATCTCGGCATCTACAGCTGCCAGTAGTACTATCACCACAAACATATTACATCTCACTACGAATATTATTATAAACATACCTTAGAAAATAATCGTTAATGCTGCTTTATAATTATATAATTGAAGTTAGAAATGTGAAAATACCTTATTATTATGGATAGAATGAGCAAATACCGTTTACTATTATCTTCTACACGTTTCAACAATATATTCTGGACGTTTTGCTTACGACGAAATAACGAATGCGAATGGTTTGTTGAAATAAACGAAGCCTTGTTATAATATGTCGCTATCAACTGTTACCAAGGCGCCATGGTGGTTACTCGTGACCACCAATAAGATAAACGATCCATTAGGGAAGAATGTTGTCTTACATCTTCAATTTATTATTATTTTGCCATTATATGTTTTGAATAATAAAAATACTCCCGTGGCGTCCTGAGCGAGACATATGATTTCGGCGTCAGTCAGTCTTTATATTCAGTATTGTCAGTCTTTGATAACGGGTGCTTACCTCGGCGTATACTTATCGACACACAGTACCCGGGCACCCCTAGGGCCATACGGGTTGGGATACGCCCAACCAGCGCGCAAGGCACCTTGTGCCTTGCTACTTTGACTAGCTAAGCCTGGCAGGGGCTGTCGCTCGTCTCAAGTCGAATGGGCGATTCTAAGCCCTACCGTCTCACCAGGACGGTTCCGGAGCAGGTGGGACGCTGCTCACCCGCCGAAGGCCATTCGGGGCGAGCCATTACCCCTTAAATCGGCCCTCTTGCCAGCATCTTGGCCATCAACCACTGCCACCACGAGTCCGAACCCATAATTGGTCGAGCAGAGGGATCGCTACTCCCTCCGGGCTTACACTCGACCGCCCGTGGTACCATCCTAAGTCATTGGTGAGACTATCGTGTGGATGTACCGCCACGTCACTGCCGGCCGGCGACTTGCTAACCGTACTCGACAGATCCAGATAGGACTCACGTAAGCGGGGGCCTCAAGGCACAAAGTGCCCGGGAACTTATTCCGACGGTCCTATCCTTGGCATCAGGATCGTGGGTGCGCTATTACCCAAGATCACGTAGAGAGAGCATGGACGAACCTCTCGCCTACACTCCGGGCGTCCTTCCTTGCGGTGTACATAGAGGACTCACGTAAATGGGACGCTTGTCCCGACGGTCCTCCCTGGCTACGGGAACGTGGGTTTGCCAGCCCCCATAGACTTACATCAGCAAGTCCTCCCTGCGGGAATTTCGGCGTGGCAGTCAAAGTTTTAAGGAAAAATTCGCTATAATGCTATAATAATAAGTATTGAATATTAATCCTTTCGCTACAGCGGTTCGGTACTGAACTCGACACTGCGCCGAAACTGTACACATTGTGCGTGGACAGTTTATCTTGAAAGAAAAAGGACTTTTCTTTAAAACAATATACTTATAATTTCTACATAAAAGATATAAACTTATTTAATGGGTATAAAGAGTCTGACCAATGATTGAAAATAATGAATGAATAATATACAGTGATTAATAATTTAATTTAATATGATATGTTTTGGAACATGGAAAAACGCATAACCCAACATCACATTCTTGGCATTGATAACGAGATTTTCATCTCTTATTGTTTTTCGCACACACAACACATCTTCGTGATATATTTTTTCCTGTAGCTTCATAAAGTGAAGGAAAATGTCTTCCGTTGAGTCTTGATAAGTAATTATTTCCGGATGACGGGATGTTTTTTCTGATATTTCTTTCAAATTTGATCTATTAATTTCAGTCGAAATTCTGCAATTGATATTGTTTTGTTGATTTCCAATTTGTATAGACAATATGAATTCCATAAGCACATATCAATCATATGGAAGAAATACTTTTTGTACCATTTTGTTGTTTTGCGGGTAGAATTTATAGTACTGATGACTATGTCTGTCCTGTCTATAGCACCAATCAATTTATCATAGTTGTATACACAAGATGGTTTCTGTAAAATTTCTTGTGCACTGTAGTATTTTGGTACATCCACAAATTCTTCTGTATGTATTGTTGAAATCATGAAAACCTCTTTTTTATCGTGCCATTTTATGCAGCTTCTGGTTTTACGCTTCTGGTTTTACGTCCTTAGACCAGCGAACATCTTGACTGGTTTTCCGTTCTTTCATCAGTCATCATCTTAACTTGCCATTTACACTTCGCTGAGAACATATCTACACGCACCACGCATAAATACTTAAATCTTAAAGGTGTTGAAATAAAGCGTATATTTTAACCTGTTAACTCAGTGTTATCATCATTTTAACCACCTCTATTATCTTAACCGAAATAGGGGATCGATTAATTCGTAGTATCGATTATCTTATTGTAACGAGAATTTACTACTCTCGTTGGCGCTATCTACCGCATCTCTCCGCGAACGGTCGAACAGTCGGTCCTTCGAGCCGAACTCATATGCACTAAACCGTTAAATAAAACAGTGTACACATCAGTAACACAGCACCCCTAACTCCAATCAAACAGTGCCACGTGACTCCATCATTATCATCAATGCAGCAAATTCCAATAAGCGAAGAATCAACTTCGGGAAGGAAATAACGCGACGGCAGCAGTAGAGCAGTGTCGAACTCTTACCGACTAAAACTCCACGATGGCTACGCGTGTGACAGGAGTGCCCTGGGACTTCTTGCGAATTACTGCCTGTGCTCTCCCCGCATTCTCTTGATTGAGACAATCCTGCAAATTTCCCTAACTAATTAATTTGACGTTAGGGGAGGCCATTACCCCTAGCACCACCCCCTGTTGGGGGGGGGGCGGTGGAGCGGCCCTGGGCCGCCTGACCGCCATCGCCCTTCGCCGCGTTACCCTACAAGAGTGAGAGTTCCTCTTTCTCTCCCTCTCTGCCAGCTCCTTTACGAGCATAACTTGCTCGCAGAAGGAACGGACAGCCTCGTACTCGTGCGGCCCGCCCAGCATCGTCTCCACGATCACCGAAGAGGCCAAATCTCTTCCCAATGACGGGGCAGCTCCCATGCCGGACAAAATTCCAGCGTGTGCTGCGCTGTGCCCCTGCCCTCCCTGCAATTGTAACAGATGTCCATTACCTCGCGTCCAATCTTCATCAGGTACTCGCCGAACACGCCATGT